CCTTGCATTTCGCACTTGGTTCTGCAATGGCTAGAAGTGCTCCCTCAAAATAAGAAAACGCCGAGTGACGCTGGGGACGTCTCTCGTACCAAACTCCCGAGACCCTTCCTCATCATGATCATGCCTGGAACCGGATTATCCTTTCCAAAGAGCCAGCCGCAGTAAAGTAAAGTAAAGTAAAGTAAAATGCTGAGAATCATACATTTGGTTCAGTAATCTTACGATCGATAAGACCAGTGTTAGCAAGCGGCTTCATCATGGCTATGATAGTTCACGTATATTGATTTATTCCGTTCACAGTCTGAACCCAAACTAGTGGTGCACATTTAAAGAACAAACGATTTAAATTTTGAGAGAAAAAATGGCAAAACTGAATTATTCCCGTGTTCTATGATCACTGCTCTGATTGCACTAGTCTACTTCATGATGACAGGATAGGTGAATCTTTTTCGCGTGATTTCACCGCGGCGGAAAACGTATTCCAAACTGTTCGAGTGTGCAGGAACATTTTGCTCACAGAATGAAACTCACTTGAGCTAAAGCGTCCTTTTCAGACTCGGGACTTGTATTGTTAGATGATGACCCGGACGAGACGGTGAGATAGGTTGAACCGATGCCGCTGTCTGAAAAGTTGCAAGAAAACACAAACATTGGTTAGTAAATAGGGGTTTGATTACTCTCCCTCTCTCTCTCTCTCTCTAGATCTGTCTCCATAACTTGATAAAAATCTTAATAATAATAATGACATTCTCAGTCCTACAGAATAACGGCACGATCAGTCCTGAGGGCCTTGTCTGATGGAATCCGTGAGTGCAAAGTAGGACTGCATTGGTTAGGTTCGAACTCATCAATGACGAGCAAGAGATTTATGCCTCACAATCACCGCTGCTATCAGAAAAACTATGAGTATTGTGTTCTGTCCACGACAAATTGAATCTAATTCCGTATGGGGGGGTCGATTTTTCGACGGTAAGTCTATCGATCGTTCACACACACACACACACACACACATACCGGAAATGTCTCGGACGATTCGGTGAATTGATTTTTATGCTAAGGAGAAATACGACAGCTTTATCTACTCAAAGCTCTCCGGTTTGACACAAGCTTACACAAGTGGTACACGATCGATTTGCTCACCTTTTGTACAGTCGGACGATTGTGCCAACTTATGTGGTTTAAACGCAGCTGGTTGCCCTCCCGGGGTCAAATTGGCCAATAATCTTTCCTTGTGCTCAATATATTTTGCTGGCGTCTGATTCCGGTCCATTTTGCCTCGGACTATGTGATTTTTGTCAACCATTTGTTGGGTGCACCGGAGGGCGGGGGAAGTAGCGGAGTGCGGGAGCAAATGGAAGAAGCAGAGATTTATACAAGAAAAAAATAAGGCGTAAAAAATGGAACACAAACACACAATTACAGTTGGGTTTTTGTGTGGAAAAAAATAGAGATTAGTTATTAGTGTATACCTTAGATAGGATGAACACTTTAATCATTATATCCTGTCTCTTCCCTCGCCTTCGTCTTATGTCCCGCTGCCATTCAATGTGATATCTACTTAATTAACGAGTATTTGGTTTTGTTTTTTGTATGAGGCCCAGAAATCCTAGTCCCCCAAGCATTTCCGCCCCTTTGTCTATCACACACACAGACACACACACACGTTTATACTGGTCTCCCGACAGCCCATCGCCAGCCGATTGCCAGATTTGCCATTAGATATTGGGGAATTCGGGTCCGGAAACCCAATAATTATTTTCATAGAAAATGATAACATTTTTATCTCCAACAGATAACCTATTTTGTTTTCATCCAGGCATTGCCTACTCCTTCCTCATCCGTGTTCGCTCAGTTGTTTGTGTGCTTGTCTCCGAATGAAAAATCGATCAAAAATGTTGACCTCTGAACGCATGTGGTTGTTCTCACAATTGACCGTAGTCTCTCGCGCTCCTATAACACAGATGACGTAACGGCAGTCGTCCGAAACGTTGACGGCACACGGAAGTTCATGAGTTCATCAATGCCGACGTCTCACCCACCCACCGCGCGCTCCACACACGCTCCCCTGCACACACACACACCCTAGATCACAGTCATTCTCAAATCACGAAGCCACGATGGAGAGTTGTTAGGGGCCTCTGATGTAAACGACCTAATCACCTTGGTCAATCATCATGGAGGCCACTCTACGATTCCAACTTGTTGAATCGGTTGCTACGCTATCAAGTGACGTAATCACGGAATCGTGTGGTTCGACTATCGCCCGCATTTGGTTCCACCGCGGGGTCACAGTGATCAGTTCCCGGTTGTTTTCGATTTTCCTACCACAGATC